AAAAAGACGCTGAGCTTTAATGATTAAGTTGCTGAAGAAGTCCCAATAAAGGGACGAAACGTCCAACTCAATTAAATTAAGTTCTACTTCTTTTCATGTCCAAGTTCCCTATGAAATTTTATCATTAAAAATTATAATTTTGGACGAGAGAAAATAATAAATAAATTAAATTATATGTTACATATTTTTAGGACAACAAAATCATAAAAGACCAATAGCTTCTCATGTGCGCAATTCATCGTTAGATTATAGACTTTCTCAACGTGGCTTACCTCATTCACGAACTCCCTCTTTAGATTTGAGACATATTCGAAATAATTCAGCAGATTTAAATAAATTATACAAAAATGATGTCGGTGTAATATTTGGACCTCAACAGGGTAAGAATATATCAATTTATATTTATCTAAAATATATTATTACATAAATGTGTTATATAGGCATTATATTATTAAATAATTTAGTTTCAGCTTGGGTAGATCCTTTAAGAGTGCAAATTATAAAAGCACATCATAATTGGATAGTTGTTGCTTATGCACATTTTATAACATGTTATCGATTAAAAGATTCATCTGGATGGCAGCATGCATTTACAAGTCCACACATCGAATCTATAATTGAGCGAGTAGCAATAAATGCAAAAATAGGTAGTGGAGTTGACGGTAAAATGGTAGCTATTTCCTATGGAAGTCAAGTGAGATTATGGAGCGTTTCCGAATATGGCATTAAAACAAATATTGGTACTTTTAATTTGAATGTCCGTGTGGAATATTTATTTTTTATTGGTAGCCAATTAGTTGCGCTTTCACCTACTGGAAAGATTGGTGTCTGGCATGCGATGACGCATCATTGGCAAATCCAAGACGTAGAACCTATTCTATCATTTGACACTGCTGGCACATTTCTTCTTCTTGGTTGTAACAATGGTTCTATTTATTATATTGGTAAATACAGGAGAAATATTACATATTCAGTATAAGTATTTCTTACAATGGTAACAAGTAATAAATTATCTCGTATTTATATTACAGATATGCAAAAATTTCCTCTTAGAATGAAAGATAATGATCTTCTCGTAAGTGAATTGTATCGTGATCCAAGTTATGATCCTATTACTGCTATATCAGTCTATTTAACGCCAAAAACAAGTGAGTTGAAACATTCAACATTGTCATCTATATAATCTATTAATAATAATAGATTAAGTATGAATTCTCATTAAATATCATTAAATAATTATTAGTACTTTGATTAGCACATACATCAAATGAAATTTTATTATATTTTAATATACATTATTTAACTTTTAGTACGATATTATTACACGTATTTGATATGAAATTCTTATTAGTCTCATACCTTTAATTATTAAACTAATAATAAAGTTAATATGCATATATAAAGGTTTTATGTATGTGTATACTTATGCCTGTAATAAGAAAAGCAATAACTTATCCTTCCTCCTTTGACACTATATATCAAAGCCTTTTTATTAAGCCACAAACATATATGCGGCTTTCAAATATTAATACGAGTTTATTATTACATGCTTTGCCTCATGATTTCGTACAACTGGATAATTAGCACAAGGCAAGTATGGGTCATTATAATCTAGTGTTTGTTTTCGATTCCACATACAATTTAAATACCATTTCTTAACATTTACTATTTAATTACACATAAAACGTTTGTATAAGTTACAAAAAAATTCTCTTCCTCTTAAGTTTGAATAAAATTACAGCTATATGCTAAGTAAAAAAATGCACAGCTTTGTATAGCTACAAAAACTATTTGTTTCATTTTTCATTACATTACTCCTAATGGAATAGTTTATGTATAAGATCAATTATAAATAAGTAGCTTTATCAAATGCATGTGTATAACATATACACGTTCATATTTTCTTCGTATCAACGTTTTATTTCTATATCACACTAATTGTCTATAACCCAGCTATTCTTATGCATCCAGTTGTACCAAAGTTTTTATTAATAATTATTTTAATCGTTACATTTTCTTTTTCGATTATTATTTACACAATAAATACATATATATATATATATATATATGCTAATTTATTTTATTTAAGTTTAGTTAATTAAATGTTTTATATTTGCTATCTAAGAGGAAGAGAGAAAATAATAAAACGTTTACTACCAGCTGCATATTAATTTTATTAAATATTGCGTATAATGCATTAATATTTAATGTGTTTATACCACTATTATAATTACTTTTGTATGTAATAGTCATTTTTATATTCTGTTCTTAAAGAAAAAGTATTTTAAAATTCATACTTCGAAATGTTTAGATTATAGTACATATCTTTATTATGTTTTTTCATTTTCATAGGTCTCTGCGGAAATTGGATTGAAATTGCTTACGGTACAGAATCTGGTAGTGTCAGAGTCATTGTCCAACATCCTGAAACTGTTGGTCACGGACCACAATTATTTCAAACATTCACCGTTCATCAAAGTAGTGTAACAAAAGTATGAAATTGTTGAATCATTAACTAATAGAAAATTAAAGAAAAATCTAAAAATTTGATAAAAATTGTTAATTCTTTTAGGTAACATTATCAGAGAAATATTTAGTGTCTGTTTGTTCTGAATACAATCATGTAAGAACTTGGACAGTGACAAGATTTCGTGGTATGATTTCAACGCAACCTGGGTCAACGCCTGAAGCAAGTTTTAAAATAGTATCTCTAGAAGCAGTTGAACCCTGCGTCAGTTATTATGCTGGAAATGATTTTGGTATGCTTTTTATTAATTTATTAAATTTACTTTTTTAGAATATTAGTATTTTATTTCCATTTTATAGGTCCATTTGGCGAACAAGATGATGAGCAAGTTTTCGTTCAAAAAGTTGTACCTGAAACTGATCAATTATTCGTACGATTAGCATCGAATGGAAAAAGAGTTTGTGTAATACAATCGGTTGATTGTAGCATCATTAGTTCATTCTATGTTCATGAATGCGAAGGATCTAGTCGAATGGGCTCCAGGCCTAGACGTTTTATATTTACTGGGCATTCTAATGGTACTATTCAAATGTGGGATTTAACAACAGCTTTGGATCCATCCTTTCATCAAGATAAAGGTATTAACATTAACAAAGGTATTTATTTTTCTATTATATATTGAAAAAATATTAAGATGTATAATATTGATGCTTTTTTTATATAATAGTATCAGATGTATCAGGTGGACCTACGCCAGAAGAACTTTGGAAATTGTTAGATCAATGTGATCTAAGTAATAGTCATTGCTCAACACCATGTATAAGTCCGTGTCCATCGCTCGCAGGTGTAGGTGCAAGAATTAAAACAAGTAATGTTCTATTTCTTAATCAATCGCATAACACTGAGGCAATAGCTGGATCTAGCCAGCAACAATAAGTATAAGTTTTTTATCATTATATTAAGTTATTTGATTTTTCTTTCATTTTTTCTCCCGATTTTACGTATTTTAGCAAGTTAATACGCATTTATATATATACGTATTTATTATCAATTATTTGTCAAAATTAAGTCATTATAGTTATAGTTCCTATTTTAAAGCCAACGGCTGATAATTCTCTGTTAATTAAATGATCAAATAATAAAATAGTAACGTACAGAACTGACTATATTTTAAGAGAAAAAAAAACATTTTTTTTGCATTTTCATGCAATTTCTAAAATTACTTTAAATCAAAGATAAAATTGTTGCAAAATAAGCAAGTTAACAAATATCTTTAATACTCAATGATAGAAACAAAATAAACCTTGCTATCTTTTTTGTTTATTGTTAGTTGTTTTAGGAAACTATAATATTAAATATAATTCAGCAATAAATGTGATAAAAAAATAAATTTTAGGATTATAAATATTAGACAAAGATACTATGACTTTTCAATTTGTTAAGTTAAAATATAAGAAGCTTAAATATATGTAATTTTTGATAATTTCTTAATGTAATTATTATTATTATTTCATAAAAGCTGATATATCAGCTATATCAGCTATATCTATATATTATATATATAGATATATAATATTTTTATTAGATATTCTCAAATAAGTAAATAAAACTCTGGTGTGTGTATTTATAATATTAAATTGTATATTATAAATTATATTCCTAAAATAATATTGGGTAAAATTATATTTTTTAGTCTAATATTATTGGCACGTATAATTTATAGTAAAAGTTTTATTTTCTCAGGCACTACGGTGATATTTTATAGTTTTTCTGACTGATATTACATCAAGTGTAATCACATTATGCGTTGTACGCATATTATTACTTAATATATCCATTATTAAACTTAATGTAGACATATTTTGTAATGTAATCTACAAGTATATCCTTATAAGTATATCTTAAGTATGAACATATTTCATAACATGATTAATTATTATTTAGTTACAAATGAGATACTTGATATAGAAATATTACAGTCTAACACCCGTAACAACTTTACAAAATATAATTCATATAAATCTTTAGATATCAGAATAAATTATTATGATATATTGCTGGATCAGTCATTGGCGTTAATAGAAAACACCATGCAAATAAACCAATGACAAATAAAGAAAATAGAGCTGCTCTTTTTAAAGGATCTTTATAAGCTACGACTTCCGATAATTCAGGAAATCCCATATGATTGCAAAATGAATGAGCTATGAAAGGAGCTATAAAGTGTCCTATGAAAAAAGAAAATGCAAAGATTATTAAAAAAATATATATATATTTATATGTATTATTAGAATAATATCATTTAATATAAGTTTGATAGCATAAAATAATCTACCTGTTTTAACAAACAGAAATGCTGCATAAGCTCCAAATAATGTAGTATATGCAAATTGGAAACCTATGCATCCCAATCTTTCATTAATGAAAATATTTTTACATATTTATACCATTAAAATGATAGATAAGAAATACTTACAAGATATGAATAAAGCAAGTTTTATTTCCATTCCCATTTTAATTCTTTCTACTACGTGATGAAAATGTGCTACTCCAAAGAATAACGGGCATATAAAAATGGCAGTAGTTTGTGTAAAACATTGTAAAAGTAATGGTAACATACAAGCTCTAAAAGTCCATTCCTCCGACAGAGGTGCGACAATGTGATTTCTCCACCAAATTAATGTATGTACACTTCCTAGCCAGTACATAGGCTCTAACAAAATCAAAATAATTAATTGCATTATCAATATCGATATTATAAAATATATTATTTTGATTACAAACCAGCATATAATCTCCAGAATCCATTAAAAATTTGTACACTCAATGGGCCCAAAAATAAGATCATTGTTAAAAGGAATGGTATTATACTTGCCTGGAATAGGCCAGACCATCGTAAACCTAATAATTCCCAAATGGTTGCCTAGAATATTTTCTTGCTATAATAATATAAACATTTATTTAATCTACATCCACAGACAAGAGTATTTAAAATAGTTACTTTTTGATAAACCTTTTCGTCCAAACCAACGTATAAAAATATTGGTGAAATAAGAGCAACAACAAAAACACTAAAGAATCTTCTTTTTATAGTAGAAGGATGTTCTCTGCAAGTTAAAAATATAGTAATACGATAAATATAATCTAATATAAATATAATTTATATTATAAATATATCGATTCTCTCTCTCTCTCTCTCCATCTAAATGCTTCATAAATGTATCTTTTAATGGGAATTAAAAGAAAGTGTTGAACTAATTGAATTATCAGTTTAAAATTTGAAATTAAAGTTTCAACTTTGTACAGAATTTTGACATTGAAAAGAAACAAAAAAAAGGAAAAATAAGAGAATAAACAAGAAAAAATAATTGCTCTATATAAGAATGAATAATTAAAATAGTTACATCTCGATAATTAATATTCGTACAAGTTAAGATATCTAGCCGAGAAATATTTTGGAATATTCCGCCAAAAAATGAAAGAAGGAAAGTTTAAAGAGTCTCCGCCACGAGCGCTGAAGCAAAGTTCATTCTTGTCCAGAAATATGAGCTACACGAGTGGGAGAACCAACTGAAAGAGAAGGGGGAGAGAAGGAATTGCTTTCTCTTTCTCTCTCGCTCTCATATACTTTTTTTCATTCGTAGTTGTCTGCCTGCTTGCCTACGAGAGACACTGTTAAAGAGCAAAGCGTGTTCGGAGCCACAAGAGAAATGATTGTACAGTTTAACGTTTGAAAGATTAAATGGATTTTCTGTACCTGTTGTGAGGAGAATTCCATACGTACAAACTCGCGATATAAACAACCGATAATACGAAGCATGAGAAAATTCCGGAGATACAGGATAAATCGGCATTTCGACCTGTGGTCTCCATAACTCCATACTAATGTTGGTTGCTTGTGTGGTAGCAATTCACAGTGTACAAGGGGGGGATCGGTAAGGGGTTGAAGGAGTGTTGGGTGGTGACGGAAGAAGTGACGGGGAAGGGAGAAAGAGAAAGAAAGACAGATTCAAGGAGAGAGAGAGAGAGAGAGAAAGAGAAAGATTGCGCGAGTACGATCAAAAGAGAAGAGGAGAGAGAGTGAGTGAATAAGAGAGAGAAAAAGATAGAGAGAGAGAAGAACAGAAATTCATCCGATTGGCGCTCCAATACTAGTCGACAGTGCTACCGTCGATGAGAAGATGGCCGCTGGGCTCGGTAGAAGTGTCGCCATTGTTTAGTGTTTAGTTATTTTAACAATTTTCGCATTATTTTCTTTCGTTCAGCACGGGAAAAATGCCAAGCGCATCGTTTACGTCATCGCGCAACTACGTGCGAAGATCAAAAAGAAAAGGAGCTAATAGAATTCCCCTACCGTCAAGAACCACCTCGGGTAAGGCATCCCAAGGCATCGGTTCACTTCTTACCTGTCGCAATTCTTTTTTTTACCTTTATATTTTCTCTATTTTTTAATTATTTTCTTTCAATATAATAATAAGGAATAAATAAATCCTTTACAATTCCATTTAAATCTCTCAGTTTAATAACATAAGCTTGCTTTAAAATGCCGACGATGGTAAACGCGACAGTCACCCTTCAGCTTATACACACACACACACACACAATACGTCCATTGCAGATATGTACAATTTTATAGGTTGAAAGGTCTATCATCGAAAGCACCGATCAGAATTCTGGATGACGTTTTTAAATGTTAACGACGTATATAGTTTCATCGTTTATCGATCGTTTCGTCTTTTCTCTTAATCATCGATTTCCTTTCCTGTCTTTTTACCATTGTCAATTTTTATTCCGGTACGTCCGTCCTGTCTACACCTCGCCTCACCCCACCTCCTTTTTTCTTTTCTCTCTTCTCTACATTTCTTTCTCTCTCTATCTCTCCCCCTCCCCTCCCCCCATCTCTGTCTGTCTGCTTGTCTGTCCACCTCTACCTCTTTTTCCCCTCTTTTCTTTTCATAATGTCGATTTACTACCCGCACAGCTGTACGAACCTGTACGTCTTCCTCGTGTACAATTAAAAAAAATTCAATAATACTTCAAGATAAAGAACACAGCTGTTTCAATGAACCAATATTGTCATACATATTTTACGTTAAATCACTGTGTCATTCTACTTTCTCTAATGATTATTATGATTCCAAGGCAGTTGATAAGATTCATAAACCTCGATCGAAAAAGATATTTTTTTTGTATTGATTTGTATATTTGTATATTTTTCATTTTTGTCTACTTTATGCTTTATATTATGTTTTGGTGTCATTTACATTTTGGTATTTTCTCTCTTCTCCTCTTTTCTTTTCTTTTCTTACTTCATTAGTATGAAATTTATAAATGTAATTATATTCTTGTAATTTATCTCTCCTCCAAAAAGATTTGCTTAAACTTGTCAAATGATGTTTATAGTAATCAATATTCGTAATTAACATGGTGATAGTATACTCTTTTTCTTTTATATATATTTAGATCAATATGAAATATAATAATATACATACTTGAGCTTTTTTCAATGAGAACCAAAGAACGAAAAATTGATAAAATATTGAAATTCGAAGAAATTTATTTGGTAACAGTTTTCAATTTTGACAGCTATTTTGAAATATAATCTTTTCAATCTATCTGTAGTTCAGATACAAGTAATTTTTTACACACTAGATGTGTAATAGTAATATATTATTAAAAAAATCACCCCAAATCGAATTAGTTTTTTATTAGATATTTCTAAATATTACCTTTTCTGAAAACATAGCAATTCTAATTATAATACATGCACACATAAAAAACATAATTTAAAAGAATAGAAAAATGAAGAAACGCACATTAAGCAACTATTAGTTTATTTATTGTAAAAATGTTATAATGGTGATATAAATTTGGTGTATTATAGCCGAGCCATGCGAATTGCCATGTCCAGCATCAAATCAGATTCCTACTGGCGGTGGTGTTGGTGGAGGTGGAGGTGGAGGAGGTGGCGGAGGAGGAGGAGCAGGGGCTGGAGGAGGAGCAGGAGGTGGTGGTGGTGGTGGTAGTGGTGGAAGAGGATCTTCGCCTAGTGTGTCAGGTGTAGCTGCACCTTCACCATCTCCATCACATTCGCATTCTTCGCCATATGATTTGAGACGAAAAAGTCCACCTCATCCGGACCCAGCACCTGGCACAAGTTCTGCACTGCCCCCCTCAAGTGGCAATAGTATCGCTGCTACTCTTGGCAGTTTTACCCTTCCAGCAAGGAAACGACCACGGAGAACATGTTCACTTTCTGCTGACGGTACGTTTAAACATGTCTATCAATTAATTGACTTTTTGTATGTAAAATGTATATTCTTTGTTTTATTGTCAATTAAGTAATGATCTATGTATAAATCTATTTCTTTTTAATAGGTACAAATACAAATACAGCGGCACATTATCTCCAATATGAATTACCGGATGAAGTGTTGCTTACTATATTCAATTATTTAATGGAACAAGATTTGTGTAGAGTTTCACAAGTTTGTAAACGTTTTCAAGCTATCGCAAATGACACAGAACTATGGAAATCTCTATATCAACAAGTATATGAATATGACTTACCTTTGTTTAATCCAGCACCTTGTAAATTTGAATTTGTTTCTCCGGATGAGTCAGATTATCCAAATCCATGGAAAGAAAGCTTTAGGCAATTATATAGGGGAGTACATGTTAGACCTGGCTTCCAGGACTTAAAATTTAAAGGGCGTAATTTGCCATATTTCAACACAGTTCAAGGAGCATTAGATTATGTAGATGAATATAGAAGCAGCAACAGTAGTTCTTCTAATAGCAATGGAAATACAAGTGCTCAAGGAAATTGTTGTGGGAGTAATTCTCAAACAATAGAAGAAGCACCTCAACACTTGGTATTCTTACATGCTGGAACGTACAGAGGTGAATTTCTTGTAATCGACAGTGATGTTGCACTTATTGGAGCAGCTCCTGGTAATGTTGCGGAATCAGTCATATTGGAAAGAGAAAGTGAATCTACAGTAATGTTTGTAGAAGGTGCTAAGCGTGCATATGCTGGCCACCTTACTTTAAAGTTTACTCCAGATGTTACTAGTACAGTTCCACATCATAAACATTATTGTTTGGAAGTGGGTGAAAACTGTAGTCCTACAGTCGATCATTGCATTATTAGAAGCTCGAGTGTTGGTAAGGATACACAATTTTAATAATTTCAAATATTCAACCAGAAATAGAAGAAAAAAAATGTTAATATGAAAATTACGTTGTTTATTTGTTCTAAATTGAAAAACTCTTTTTCTAAAATCTTTTTCCAATATTTTACATATTATAGTAGGAGCAGCTGTTTGTGTCTCTGGTGTTGGCGCTAATCCTGTGGTAAAGAACTGTGACATATCGGATTGTGAAAATGTTGGGCTTTATGTTACCGATTATGCACAGGGAACTTATGAAGACAATGAAATCTCTCGGAATGCATTAGCTGGTATTTGGGTTAAAAATTATGCCAATCCAATTATGAGAAGGAATCACATTCATCATGGCAGAGATGTTGGAATATTCACATTTGATAACGGTCTTGGATATTTTGAGGCCAATGATATTCATAATAATAGAATAGCAGGTTTTGAAGTAAAAGCTGGTGCCAATCCAACAGTTGTACATTGTGAGATACATCATGGTCAAACAGGAGGAATTTATGTTCATGAAAACGGATTAGGACAATTTATTGATAACAAAATTCACTCGAACAATTTTGCTGGAGTTTGGATTACTTCTAACTCAAACCCAACAATTCGAAGAAATGAAATTTATAATGGCCATCAAGGAGGTGTGTATATATTTGGAGAAGGAAGAGGTTTAATAGAACATAATAATATTTATGGTAACGCTTTGGCTGGGATACAAATCAGAACAAATTCAGATCCAATAGTTAGGCATAATAAAATACATCATGGTCAGCATGGAGGTATATATGTACATGAAAAAGGACAAGGTTTAATAGAAGAAAACGAAGTCTATGCCAATACTTTAGCAGGAGTTTGGATTACTACAGGATCAACTCCTGTTTTAAGAAGAAATCGAATTCATAGTGGAAAACAAGTTGGAGTTTATTTCTATGATAATGGACATGGGAAACTAGAGGATAATGATATTTTCAATCATCTTTATTCGGGAGTACAAATAAGGTAAACAATATTTAATATATACAATTTAATATATAACAATATAATAAATAATGATTTTAATAATGATTTTTTGGAAACAGAACTGGAAGTAATCCAGTGATACGTGGAAATAAAATATGGGGCGGACAAAATGGTGGTGTTCTTGTGTACAATAGTGGTTTAGGTTTACTTGAACAAAATGAAATTTTTGATAATGCCATGGCAGGTGTTTGGATTAAAACAGACAGTAATCCTACATTAAAAAGGAACAAGATATTCGATGGGAGAGATGGAGGAATTTGTATATTTAATGGTGGTAAAGGTAATTAGTCTAAAATTATTTTTATCATTGTAATTTATTCATTTATCTATTTATTATATTAAATATTATATGTAATGTAGGTGTCTTGGAAGAAAATGATATATTTCGCAATGCACAAGCTGGGGTGCTTATATCTACACAATCTCATCCAGTATTAAGGAGGAATCGAATTTTTGATGGATTAGCAGCAGGCGTTGAAATAACTAATAATGCAACTGCAACATTAGAATTTAATCAAATTTTTAATAATCGATTTGGTGGTCTGTGTTTAGCAAGTGGTGTACAACCTACGACTAGAGGTAAATATATAAATACTAACATCAGTTATAATACAAATGTGAATTATTTATTAATACTTATTCATTTCATTTAGGTAATAAAATATTCAACAATCAAGACGCTGTGGAAAAGGCAGTTGGGAATGGTCAATGTTTGTACAAAATTTCGTCATATACCTCTTTTCCAATGCATGACTTTTATCGCTGTCAAACTTGCAACACCACAGATCGCAATGCAATATGTGTCAACTGCATTAAAACTTGTCATGCAGGGCACGATGTAGAATTTATAAGACATGATCGGTAAGATATATAATTTTATATTATTTAAAAAAAAATGATCTACAATCAAATTTTATTATTGATATATCAAATATTTTTACCCATCACATTACATTGATTACAGTTATAGTTATATATTATTTGTAAATTTATGATAGAGGCACTTTATATATATATATATAATAAGAATTTAAAGAATAAATGAATAATTACAGATTCTTTTGCGACTGCGGTGCTGGTACATTAAGTAATCAGTGTCAACTTCAGGGTGAGCCTACACAAGACACTGATACATTGTACGATAGTGCTGCACCAATGGAGTCACATACACTTATGGTTAACTAGGAATTAACCTGAACTAATTTAAATAATCAAACAACATTGAACATGTAAGTTGAATTTATTGCACATATGCAGCATCTGGTGCTGCTGAGTTCTTTATTATAACCCCAATCTTTTTCTACCGTTCCCATCATTCCATGATTGTTTTTTTCCGAAATTATTATCATTGTCATTTTTCATTTACATATTTATTTATGTAATTTGATTCTATATCAACATATAGAATATGTTCATTCATATATTATCAACAAATCTCATAATTTAACTTAATTAAGAAAATTATATTTTCTATCGATATTTAATTTTTGATATTTTAATAATAACATATTATGTTTTTGTTTTCTTTTCTCCATTTTTTTCTTTGAGAATAAAAGTTTAAATTTGTTTTATATGTTGCGGTTTATGTAATAGCGCAAAAATGTATATAACATATTTGACCATTTTATTTTATTTTATTTATGGGACACTGGGGTTTTTCTTTTACATTGAAAGATAGTAGAGAACTCTGCAATAATAATAATTATAATAATAATAATAATAATAATAATAATACTAATAATAAAAAAAATAATAGTAATAATAATAATAATAAACCCATAAATAAGAAACATTGATAGAAAGACGTCAAAGTGAAAGGTGGTACGATGAAATCTACAAGTCTCGATGAACGGAATAATTAGAGGACATAAAATCCGCCAAAATAATTGTGTTGTGTAATGATATAAAATTAATATTAATTTGTAATTAACTAGAAAAGAATACCAAACTTTTCAAGTATCTTCCGTTACGAGAAAGAGAAAGAGAGAGAGAAAGACACGTTTGCTATCTAAATTTTATGTGAAAAGAGTGCAGTGATAACTGTGTAAACAAAAAGAAAAATCTGTGTGTATATGTTCTAATGAAAAAGACATTGAACGAAATTGTCATTGGAACGTTTTAATAAACTATGTCAAAAAATCCAGTACAGTGGAAATGCGACATATTATGATAAAGTCTCTACGGTATATATATATTATAGTGCCGAAGAAAATGTAAATTGTGTACATCGTAAGGAACTCGGTAGAATAGCGATATTGACTGGTCCTCTTGCTATTTAAAAACAAAAAGCATAAACATTATTAACACGTGAAGTATATTAACAAAATTTGCACAACACTTGAAAAATAATAGTAGTGTATACAGGAACGTATGAAAACAAAAAGGAAAAATTAAAGAAAAAGTGCACATATTATACTTAAAATTTGCAGAAGTGAAAAACAAAAAACTAAACGATCCAACTGTTCAAAGAAATCTCGATAAATACATTAATGAAGAAAATCGACTGTCAATAAAATATATCAAGTGCGACTGTAGTTATGAATTTGTCATATAAGCGAGATATCACAATTTCACAAGGAAGAGAAAAAGACACAAGAAAAAAAGAAAAGGAAAGAAAACATAAGAAATACTAAAATAGATATATACGTATCTATAAAAACACAATATACAACTGGAATATAATCAAAATGAAGATAAACAATTATCTATACATTTTAATAATTTGTGAATGTAAAAAAAAATGTATTTCATAATATGACGCGTATGGCATTCTTTTAATTACACCACTTGCGTCGTTAATTGTGATGGTCCTAAGTTGCCTAAGAGCAATGTGCATAATAAAATAAAGAACAAAATATTTAAACTATAATGAATTTAAACACAGTGTATAATGGTGTTTATCAATTAACAAATACAGCAAGTAAGAAATATTAAACTGTCTGAAAGGAGGAGTAGTTTTTAATATACATATAATCTCGTATCTATTATACGAACAATCTGTTTTTTCTTTCTTTCTTTTTTTCTCTCTCTTTTTGTTTTAAAAACAAAAAAGAAATAACATTATGTTAGTGACAACACGTCTAATCATATTATTATACTTGCGAGCCAAGTTCTAATCTCTACTTTGTATGAAAAGAGCGCCTATTAGTAATAATTTTAGATGCAACCCTTCTTCGTTTATGCGAATTAATATGAATATAAGTAGAAAAAAAAAAGGATAAAACAAATATATATATATATATTT